CCCCCCCGGATAACCATGAAACTTGATGTGCGTTCAGTATGGGTCATGAAAGAACCCATAATAATTTGGTCCAGATCTGGATCAGGGGGCGGATCCAGCAATTTTTTTAATGGATCAGACATGTAAAGAGGAGTGATGCTGATCTGAATTAAAACCAGGATCTAGTAAATTTAAATGTGGTTTCCCAAGAGGACTGTTGGGCCTTGGTGGAGCTATGTACTCTAAGAGGACTCTTCTAGTTGTAGAGGCAGTCAGTGGGGGCGGGGCAGAATGCTAACAGTCAGTCCACGAACCAAGTTGAACATGTCGTCTTCTACTTTCTCATATAAACTAAGGCAGTGGTCGGCAACCGCGGCTCGAAATCATCGCCAGGAAATGTAGATGTTTTTATTTCACTATATTGGGCTGACACAAACGCAGTGGGACTAACCTGGACCCGGAGCGATGATCCTAAAAACTTTTGGGACAGGATTTAAAAGACGTTAAGAGAAGCAGTGTGAGTTCAGTTGGCTCCAATGGCGTAAGCTTGATCTCCCCCTTTCACAAACTGCCACCTGGGAGTGACCAGCAGTGTAACATGTGCATGTGAGAGGGCTGTGTGTTTGTTTGTTTGTTTGTTTGTGTGTGTGTGTGTTTGACAAAGTAGACTCTGCTGCAGGAGGATTGGTTTTGTGAAAGTTAGCGAGCTGAGGAAAGTGACGCGCTAAGAGTAAACAGATGTAGACTCTCCGCCGAAGTGTGATGTCATGACTCAACCAGGCATGACCACATGCTGTCACACACACAAGTCCTCCATCCGTACTGGCTCTCTTCTCACACACACAGCAACACACACGAGTCATCCGTCCCGTCCTCCGCGCTGCTTATGCAACCGGGAAAGAAAAACAGCAGCAGTTGTTGACGGTGCTCGTGGCGTCTGGCTGCCAGTGACGATGAGCGCAGTGCGAGGGAAGCAGAGACGAGACTGATGCCAAAACAACTAAAGTGCGGCATCTGTCTGCTCATAACAAAGACTCATTATGGCTTTGTGCTCGCTCTACACCAGATTACATTTATGTCTGCTTATTCACAGGATTTCCTTATGTTTTTATATCTGTCACCTCGGGCCATGATCACCTTTTTTATTGAGCGCATGACTTTTTACTTCCAAAACAGATTTTTTGCTTTCTGCAGGAGTTGATGGTGTGACATAAGGTGCTTATCTGCAGCATAAATAGCTGCTCTTTTACATTTTCTCCCATTTTTTTCCTCCGGTTTCTATTAACAGAGGAATATTTTGAGCTGACTGAAGATTCCTTTTTGCTTGTTAAACCCACAGACCCACCAGTAGGTCAGTCTTACTGAGTCCAGCTGTTTAAATCCACAAAACATTTACCAGATGTATCAGGCTGGATTTTGGGTTCATGTATATAAAATGACACAATATTTCATTTAGATGGGAAGGTGCATAGAGTTTGAACACACACCATACAGCTTCATTGAAGAGTTGCAACAGGCTGAATACAGAATATATTTAAGATCAGTGGTTCCCAAACTTTTCAGTCCCGGACCCCTGAAATAATGCGACAAGAGAATATTTATTTGAGCTAGTTCACAATAAAAAAAATCACCTATGTGCACATGTTGCAATGTTTCCTGTAATGCTCTTAACTGATGTGTTGCAACTGATGCTATCACAAATCTGTCGTAATCATCTCAGAAGTCACATGGAGACAAAAAAAACATCATTTCCAGAAATGTAGCTTAATTTAGCTTTTGGAACATTAATGATATATATATATATATATATAATAATTATATTCAGAATGTTTTTTTAAATTGTATTTGATTTGTTTTGACACTCTTTTTATTTCTAGTGACCCCCCAGGGGGTCCTGACTCCTAGATTGCATGGAAAAAAAACCTTTCAAATCTCTGTACAGTTTTCCCGCTTCAAAACTGCAGCGCTCTTTTTACAGTTTCATTTTCAGAGTTTCAGATTTGTCACTGCCCTCCCAGTTTGTTCTCTACGTACGAGAGAAAAAAGTTCTGAAACGTTAAAACAAATCTTTTTTTAATTTTTGGAATATGGCATCATATCGATCGATAGATTGAGTTAAATTCCTCTCACTGGATTTACAACAACCTGTTTTTAACAAAGTTCCAGTGAATCTGTTGTAACATGTATGTCAAACACAAACAACAAACTATGCCCTTATTTAAAACATTTAACTTTACAATATAATATAAAGAGAAAGAAAAGGATAGAGAGAAGAAAGAAAATTCTCTCTGTCAGTAGCATGGGATAGAGAGTGAAGCCATGAAACGTCACATAAATGCATTTATTGGTATTTCTTTATTTATCTTCTTCTATCTTATCCTGGTCCAGTTGAAGAAACACTCTCCTGCGCTGGCTGTGATCTATGTAGCTGTCATTAAATCAAACAAATCCACTGCTAAAGTTGTGGAGGTGGCTGGGAGAGCCCCCCCCCCCACCTGTACCTGAGGCTCAATCACTGCAGGTGAGAGCAGTTAGCTGATTGACCCTCAGCTTTAAAAGGCGGCAGCAGAGCTGACACACAAACACTGAGACAGACACGCGGACAGACTGAGACACCGGGCTGCAAAGCCAGACACCAGGAGAACCTGCTGCACTCTTTAATTGTCGTGTCAAGTTTATGTTTGCACCTGGTTGAGAATAAAGATGCTGCTAAGCAACTCCTTTGTCTCTGGCTGTGTGTGGGAGAGACCCATGGTGCGGTCAACTGCCACAGAAGTATATAAGAGCAGAAGATTGAGAGGCATTTGCTGAAGAAGAGAATGATCAGCATCATTTCCCCTCTGATCTAATCTCACACATGATTAGTGTTTGTTTGCGTTGTCAGCAGGATACAGGCGGAAACATTAACGACAGGACAGATTAGACCTCTCCCTCCATCATGGATTATATACGCTCATGATGAAATCTATTCTCAGTCCAGATTGTCAGTGCTGTTTGGGATGATTGAGTCATCTGTGAGGGAATACTTGGACAATAGTGCCATCTATTGGAGACAGTGTACACTACATGCACAGTGCTGTGTGTGTGCACACATATATGTGTATACCTGTATATACTGTTTATACAAAACCAAAGTTGGGACGGTATGGAAAATGCAAAAAAAGAAAAACAGCAGGGATTTCTCAATTTAATTTGACTTGTATTTCATTGCTGACAGTATGAACATAAGATATTTTATGTTTTGTCTGCTCAACTTCATTTTATTTGTAAAGATACATCCATTCCTAGCATTCAGGAACACATTGCACATCCATTCTATGTCTTCATCTATGATGTAGAATGATTAAAGAAGAAGTGATTTGAAATAGGTGATGTCAGATGATGGTAATCATGATTTAGTACAAAAGCAGCATCCAGGAAAGCCTTAGTTTTGGGAGCAGAGATGGGCAGAGGATCGCCAGTTTGCCAAAGAATGTGTGAGAAAATTATTGATATGTTTAAAAACAGTGTTCCTCCAATAAAGGAAGGGATGTTGAAATGTCATCCTCTGTGGTGCATAACAATATTAAAAGGTTCAAGGAATCTGGAAGAATGCATAAAGGGCACAAGCACAATCTAAGCTGACTAACTGTGCTCTCCGATCCCTCAGACGACACTGCATCAAGAACTGTCATTCATCTATAAGTGATACAACCACATGGGCTCAGGATTACTTTGGAAAACCTTTGTCAAGCACTACAATACGGAGTAACATCCACAAATGCCAGTTAAAACTCGCTAAACCCAGCCTTATATTAAACATGTCCAGAAGCAACTGGGATGGACCATAACACAGTGGAAATGTGTATTCAGGTCAGACGAGTCGGTATTTCAGGTCATTTTTGGAAGAAATGGACGCCGTGTGCTCCGGACCAATAATGAAAAGGGGGTGGGTGCTGGACTGTCCCGACATGGCCACCACAGAAAATGTGTGGTGCATTCTGAAACGCAAAAGACCCTGTACTGTTGCACACCTTAAGACTTGTTTGCAGGAAGAATGGGACAAAATGACACCTGAAACGCTTCATCACTTGGGGTTTTGTGCCCCCAAACGTCTTTTAAGTGTTGTGAAAAGGAATGGCAACATTACAAAGTGGTAAATGCTTTACTGTCCCAACTTTTTTGAAATATGTTGCAAGACACAAAATTGAGGTGTTTATTTTGAAAAATCAATAAAATTCATGTTGTCAAACATCAAATCATGTGTCGAAGACCGTTAAAAAATCACTGCACTCAGTTTAATTTTCAATGTAACGTACCATCCCAAACTTTTCTAATTCGGGGTTGTACAGTATATGCAGTACTGTATTACACTTTGTCAGGTCTCATTGCTGCCACGTATATTTCTAATCTCCCTGTTTTTATTCTTTGTGGCAGGAGATGATCTGATGCGCTGTGTCGACCTTTACAACCAGTCTCAGTCCAAATGGTTTGAGGAGATGGTCACTACGAGCCTGGTAAGAAAGAACCCAAATTATGAAAGCATGGTCATTGAACTTGTTGGTCCTGTTTTACCACTGTATCGATCCCTGTAACTGACGTATCACACACTGCTCTCGTCCTCAGGAGCTGGAGCGGCTGGAGGTGGAGCGGGTGGAGATGATCCGACAGCATCTGTGTCAGTACACCACGCTCCGACACGAGACAGACATGTTCAACCAAAGTGTGAGTACGGCTGCAGCACAGCATCCGGTGCAATCCCAAGTGTGCCACATGCATGCGGTATAATCTGTAGTCTATCAACTCAAAAGCTAATGTTTTTATGTTGTTCTCCGTTTGTCCAGACGATGGAGCCGGTGGACCAGCTCCTGCAGTGCGTGGACCCAGCCAGGGACAGAGAGCTGTGGGTGCGGGAGAATAAGACTGGAGAAATCAGGCCAGTGGACATAGAGATCTGATCTCAGTGCAGTCTGATGACTCTGCACATGCACACTTTTACCCAAGAGCCCAGGCGGACACACTGACCCAGAGCCTGCAGGCCTGAGGACTGACTGGGAGAGGAAATCTGTGCTGGGATCAGTCTCCCTCTCCACTGACCGTGTGACTCCTAACGGACTGAGGGATGAGCTGCCCTCGCAGCCACCTGCTGAGGATGACGTCAGTGTTTGGGCGATGTAGTGAGAACTCTAAGGGATGAATGAAGCTGTCTAATGGGTCGTAATTTTCTCTTATGTAAGCCGATGCCTCGCTAAAACACAGGGAAATGGGAGCTGTGAGAGTGGATTCTTTAGGACGCTCCGCTGGGTTGAATGATGAAGCAACAGTGAACATTTAACATGTGCATACAGCTTTATGTCACGCAGCAGTGTAATGCTGTCATGTGTATTTGCTTTTGTTCTGCGAGGTCATTCTCCAGGTCACCTGTGTATTGACGCACGTGTGTGACTTCTGGACTGCAAAGTTGTTGGTAAACATGATTTTACGAATGCTGCTAAGCCTAATGTTATATTCGTTTGCACCAGAATGAGGCAAAAGTATTTTTATCATAACATCAATCATATGCAAGTATTGACCATTCGCTAAAACCCACAACTCTTACCTACTGTTGCTACGCCTGTCGAGCCTGTCTCATATGCAGTTTAAAAAAGATGATGGTGTCAGATCTGCCACTCGAACATTAGAAGTCATTTTTGAAATAATACGTTTTTGATTTCAGACCCACTGGCAGATTTTATTGGCTATAATTAGCTTAAATAAAGAAACAGCATCGTTTGTGTAGTGGTAGGTCGAGTATTATACAGCATTTGAGTTAATAATTAAATGTGATTTAAATTCCATTCATCTTAATTCCAATCATGTTGTTTTGAACATATAGAAAAAATATTGCTTGTGAACTTGATGGTGATATTACTTGGGAATGTATCTTCAGATGATTAACTTTGGAGCTGATCGTTCGAGGGTCAAGATAAATAAAATAAAATTCTCCTAACAAATCTCCACAAAATAATCGAGCTAGAGATACAATGGACAGATAATATTGTTAAGATGTGACTTCATAAAGATACAACACAAATTTTCTGAAATAAAATCAAGAGCGGGACAGAGCTTCCAACTCTAGCGCTGCATTCAGACGTGCACTGCACTCCTGACATTCTCTACATTATTATCCAGAGGGGCTGTATGTGAGGTCTGAGCCAGTTGCTGCAGATGTAATCTGGAGTTGCTCCAGCCAGCCCCTGAGTACAAACTCTGGATAACGTCAGAGTGAGCCCATATGAGAGAACAGCAGAAAATACATTGGCGTCTTGACTCCCCCCAGTGGATGTTTATATATAGGATTTTTCCAACATGTGCTGTAATCCTAATATTGGGTTTATAGCAGACCTCTTACCACTGGGCACAAAGCTTAGTTAGTACTGTGGGTCATAGTCATGCTAAATTAAACCAGACAAGTGCTTTGTTTAGGCTATTCCATTTACATCCTTCTGTTATAGATTTAGCAAAATTAGCTATTAAGACACAAACCTAGATCAGAGCCCCATGCAAGTTCAAAGCTTGACAGGCCTGCTGCACCAGGGACTAGTGAAAAGTCACTTTCTTTAAGCTAATGTCACAAATGTGGCTCCACTTCTTAGCATCTGAAAGATAAATCCAAAATCTGAAAGACCTGGAGCAAGAACTCTGTTTCTCTCACTTCATTCCTAATAATTAAGAATCAGCCAATTGCACTTTATACCCAAGTGATTTTGAATAAACATACTGTAAGTTGCTGTTTGTATGAAAAATATTAATTGTGACACATTTTATTACTAATGGAAGTGTTTGGGTTATGTTCAGGGTGGCCTGGTGTAAATATATGAGATGTGTGATTTGCTAAGGAGCAGGTGGAGTGAAAGATATAAATACAATAAACTATAGAAGCTTACACAAAGACATATTTGTGGTACTGGTAATATATGAAATATACAAAGTGTTTTGTATACAAGAGAAACGACAGCTGTCCCACGATGTTCTACAGCTTTGGAAACGTCAGTCAGTTGCTTCGGTTGGATTCTGCGTGCAGAAGCTAAATGTTGTACAAAGTGCTCTTTTACTACCATGTCTTATCCAGGATTACTGCTTAGTATTACTTGACCACCGAGAGAGCAGGGCTGGGATGTTTTTGTACATTAACAGCTAAAAATTGGCCGTTTTCATTAATAAAATGAAAATATCAAATGTCACTATGCCTTCTGGTTGGTTTTGGCTGGACCACAACAGCGAGGCTAGGTCCTATGTCAGTGACTGAGTGATAAAGTTATACCATTGGATGAACGCTTGGAGTTTCCTGGTTGTCAGTTGCTCTATTGAAATGAATTTTCACCAACAGTTTCTTTTAAATAATCAAGGAAGCGTTTACAGGAAGTGTTGAAATCTTAGTCTTCACCTACATCCTCAATCTCGTACACAAACGGCCATTTACTAGATTTTGGCCATAGACTCTATAAAGATGGACGACCTGACAGCTTCTCTAAACTAAACCCAAAGCATCTCATTCACCTCCTTGTGGTTGTGTAGGTTACAATCCCCACCTCCTCAATGTTAGTGGATGGAACATGGACCAAACTAAAAATTAAAAATCACATCAAATAGAAATTTGTCAAAGATTGTTTCTGTCATTTCCAGTAGTTTTTATAACAATGCTTTATGTTCAAGTGCTCATGCGATACCGTCATGATTGGCGGAACCACAATACCATTGCTCCGCCCCTCGATCTCTGCTGCGCAGGCTTCATGTCTGGACAGTGGGAGGAAGTGGAGACGTCTCCTCCATCTTTATTAACAGTCTATGGTTATGACCTAGTGCTGTTGCCTTTTGTATGATTACAAAATGGGGAAAAAAAAGCAGAGAATATATAATAAATGAAAAAAGTCTTTATTTCCTAAAAACACATTTTCACATTCAACAATAAATTGCTTTGGTCAAGCCTTGTTACAGATGTAGACAGTGATAATTCAAATGTGGCTACAAGTTTAAACAGACATATACTTTATCAAACAGTTCAAATACACTGACACTTGCATTTCCTGTTACTAAAATAACTGGTGGCACCTTGTTACAGTCTGATTGAGTAACACTTTACTGACTGGATATGAGTCATGTATAAATCATCACGAACTTGTCTTTTACCAATTATCCGTTACTGAATTTCTTAATGTAATATATATTATATAGATATATTTTTAACATTGCACTACAGTTGTCCCTCTCAAAAGTGATTGACCATTAAACAAGGGTCTCCATTTTGAGCCAGTTTGCTTTAAATAAGACAGCTGTTGCTGTAGCTAACGGTATTAATCAGTAAAATGTATGGTACTGAATATTGAAACTGTGCTGAACATTAAACTATTATTGGTTGAAATGTAAACAGTTCAGAATTTTTCATCTTCACAACATAAATGTTAGAATTGAACCAAAGATATTTCCTAACCTAGATTTCCGGACAAAAGCTGTTGTTGTTAGTGTAATTGTTTTGCCATATTAGCAAGTATCAAATGTCCCAAAAGTTACAGCATATGGTGCTTATTTTGCACATTACAAAGCCTACCGGACCATAGTAGCTGCTTAAGAAATAGCTAGCTAGTGTTACCTAAATTAGCCATGTATGTAAACTATAATTAACAATGTAGTATCTCTACATGGTTAATTTAATTAACATTTACATAGGTATATATAAGTAAAAAAGATTTATTTCTGCCTGGATTTAAGTAAAGACAACATTGTGTGTGTACAACAGTACACTACACATTTATGAATTGTATTTTATTGTTTAGATTAAAAAAAACAACACTTAGCGGATGATACATGACTTACATTCGGTCTTTGTAGTAAAGTGTTACTTACAGTACACTTTTCCTTATTCAAGCTGTTTTTACATACACATATTACATTACTAAGTGAAGATAAAAGTGTGTTGGATAAAAGCTGGGGTGTGTTATTAAAGCTGTGATGTTACAGAGTGAAGGTGAATACATGTCAGATAGGATTGTACAGTAATCCCAAACAAGTGGCACGTGGAATGGTTTGTTTATGACCTGCATGATGCGGGACACTACGAGGAGTCTTTCTAATCGATCATGAGCTTCTTGAGGGAGTTCAGATAGGCCGGGATGAGGGAGCTGACGGATTCGTTGTCGTCGTTGAGGATCTTCTCCCCTCTGCCCTCGGAGCCCACAGAGCTGGGCGACCTGACCCGGCCGGGGTACGGCGTGCTGTAACCCTGGTGGAGCACAGACATGTATTAGTCATGGTGCTGAACAACCCAACTTTGAGACATTCTTGGGTGTGCTTCATTTTTCTTTAATAGGATTTGAAATTAATAATTGCAATTGTACTCATAATTGCAACATTTAGAACAATAGCAATTATTGCACAGTCTAACATCATGGAGCATATACAGCACCATATGCACTGTGCTTTGAATAGATCTTAAATTCTACATCACACCAGTTTAACACCAATTAAGATTCATTATGGGATGCAGATGGGTCATTTAATAAGGAGCCAACATCTTATTTCTTACAACAGTATCACAAAATGCTTAAGAAAGAGCTTTCTTGACTTGGAGGGATTTTACATGAGTAAGTGGTTAAACGTTACTCACAGAGGAGTATCCTTTGCCAAAGCTGCCTCTGTTCTTGGTCCGTATCTTGGTGAGAGCTGACTCAGCGATATCAGCCCGCTCCTCAGCATCATCCAGCTCGTTGACGGTCTTCCTGTACTTCACCAGGTTCATGTTAGCTTGTTCCTCCTGTAATCAGAGCAATATCGTCAAGAGGCATGTCCTGTAGGTCACATGGTTTTGGAGAAAGGTGACAAAGGTGACGTACGGCCTCCTCCACTTGTCTCTTGTAGGCCCTCATCTTGTTCTGCAGCCGCTCCACCAGCTCCTGCATCCTCTGCTGGTTCTTCTGGTCCTCCTCCGACTGGAACAGCAGCTCCTTCAGCCGACGCTCGTTCTTCCGCAGCGTCTTCACCGTCTCAGCGTGCCGCTTCTGCTCTGAGTCCAGCTCCAGCTCCATCTCCTTCACCTGCACACAGACACAACTCACTGAGTGAGGCTCTGGACATAACTGGTGCTGGATGTGTGTAGCAAGGCTTCACACTCATATTCACATAAAGGTTCAGTGTGTAAGATTGAGGGATCTAAGATGTCTCCAAATTTTACACACGGAACCTTGTCATCTATATGAGTTATTTCAACACATATTTATTTTTTCCCACTTTGAAACACTCATCCAGACACAGAAGAAACGACTCAATGTGCAGGTTGAGGGGTATTTCTGTGTAAAACTTGTGGAATGGCCCTATGTATGAAATATAAGTCGACAAAAATGTCCTGAAGATGGCGCTAAATAACAGGTCAGTGGGCCATTAAAGTAGGATGTCTGGCCCCTAAGCCCCCTTAAGGGTTATTATTGCACATTAATATGGATAATGGTAAATATGTCAATGTAAATAGATTTTTGTTGGCCCAAACAAAAGTTTGTTTGCTGGCAAAATATATTCTTGGAATGAGGAACAAATATAAATTCATGCATAAACAACAAGTTCCAGATTAATACATGTTTACACACTTCAGTGATAATGAGCAACTTAACATGTGAGTGATGGGGAGCAGTGCCAGAGTCAGACTGTCTAAGACACAGTTGCTAATTCTGTGTATTTTTGTGTCTTGTGCTCTTTTGCATGTATTTTCTTGTGTGTGCTGCCTTAATAAGCGACATGTTTGTGAGTCCATACCTTTCCCTCCAATTTCTGAATAATCTTCTTCCCTCCCTTCAGAGCCATCTGCTCGGCCTCCTCCAGTCTGCTGCTCATGTCTTTGATCTGGGCCTCCAGTCCTTTCTTCACTCTTTCCAGGTGCAGCGTGTGCTCCTGCTCCAGACGCAGCTCCTCCCCTACTCGTGCCAACTGACACAATAATACCAAGAAAACTCATTTCACATGACTGAACATGTTAAAGATATCATATAAAATATATCTCTAAAAATGACAAGACCTATGTTATGTTATTAACATTTTCAACAATTTGTGATCCCCAATTTTATCTAAGGTGCCTTTTAATTACATGATATTCACTTCACACATGGCATCCTGTATCTGTTTGGTGAGTTCTCAGGAATTAACTTCACAAGTACACAAGATCATCAATCAATCAAATTGTATTGTTATAGCCCATATTCACAAATCACAATTTGTCTCATAAGTCTTTAACAAGGTGTGACATCGTCTGCCCTTAACCCTCAACAAGATGCAACATCCAGATAATGGACGGGACAGAAGTGAGTCCTTGACAGGGTCAGTGGGCACGTCATCACAGTGCACATTATCATAGTGCATGTCATCACCGTGCACATCATCATAGTACACGTGCATGTGTGGTTTAACAGTGAGGGCCTTAGCAGATTGCGGGATAAGACATTTTGGTGAGGCCAACAATTCATCAAACTCGTTAATGTTTTGATTGAGCGACCCCCACTCTGCTGCTGTAATACTGCAGTGAATAGACAGTCTTAGTTGTCCTGTGTGTGTTTTACCTCACAGCTGGTCTTCTTGGCCTTGTCTGTGAATCCTCTCATCTCTCCCTGTAGCTCCTCATGCTCCTGCTGCAGAGTCTGCAGATCCACCTCCAGCTTCCTCCTCCCACTCAGAGCCGACTGGAACTGAACACACGGGAGGGGAAATATAGAATGCCATTGTTCAGACCTGATATTAAGATTCATCCTGAGACTTCTGATCACAAGAGAGAAGTTCATCACCTGGTATTAAAATGTGTCCTGAATGATCGGATCTAACTTCCCTGCTCTATACGTAAATAAAGACGTGTTGTTTGTGGCTATACAGATGTGTCCAATGACAATGTTTGAGTCGGATGGAAACTGGGTGAGCTA